GATCTTATTTTTTTTTTCTTTTCTGAGACAGAGTGTTGTTCTGTTGCCCAGGCTGGAGTGCAGTGGCATGATCTCAGCTAACTGCAACCTCCACTTCTGGGTTCAAATGATTCTCTTGCCTCAGCCTCCTGAGTAGCTGGGACTCCAGGTGCACACCACCACACCCAGCTAAGTTTTATATTTTTAGTAGAGTTGGGGTTTCACCATGTTGGCCAGGCTCGTCTTGAACTCCTGGCCTCAAGTGATCTACCCACCTTGGCCTTCTAAAGTGCTGGGATTACAGGTGTGAGCCACCATGCCTGGCCAATGATCAGTGATATTTGATGTTGCTATTGTAATTGTTTTGTATGGCCATGAAGCATGCCCATATAAGGTGGCAAACTTAATTTGATAAATGTTGTATGTATTCTGCCTGTTTCACCAACAGACCATTCCCCTTTCTCCCTCTCCTTGGGTTCTCTATTCCTGAGACACAACAATATTGAAATTAGGCCAATTAATACCCCTGCGAAAATCTCTAAGTGTTCAAGTGAAAGAAAGAGTTGTGGGTCTCGCACTTTAAATCAAAAGCTAGAAATGGTTAAGCTTAGTGTGGAAGGTATGTCAGAAGCTGGAGTTAACCAAAAGCTAGGCCTCTTGTACCAAACAGTTAGCCAAGTTGTAAGTTCAAAAGAAAAGTTTTTAAAGGAAATCAAAAGTGCCACTTCAGTGAATACATGAATAATAAGAAAGTGAAACTATCTTGCTGCTGATATGGAGACAGTGATAGTGGTCTGTACAGAAGATCAAACCAGCCACAACATTCTCTTAAGCCAAAGCCCAATCCAGAGCAAGACCCTAACTCTCTTCAATCCTATGAAGACTGAGAAAAGTAAGGAAGTTTCAGAAGAAAAGTTTGAAACTAACCAAGGCTGGTTTATGAGGTTTAAGGAAATAAGTCAGCTCCATGACATAAAAGTGCAAGGTGAAGTGACAAGTGCTGATGTAGGAGCTATAGCAAGTTATCCAGAATATCTAGCTAAGATAATTAATGAATGTGGCTACATTAAAATACAGGTTTTTAATGTAAATGAAATAGCCTTCTATTGGAAGAAGATGCCATCTGGGACATTCATAGCTAAAGGGAAGTCAATGGCTGGAGTCAAAGCTTCAAAGGACAGTCTGATTCTCTTATTAGGGGCTTATGCAACTGATGGGTTAAAGTTAAAGGCAATGCCCATTTACCATTCTGAAAATCTTAGGGGCTTTAAGAATTATGCTAAACCTACTTTTCCTGTGCTTTAGAAATGGAACAACAAAGTCTGGATGACTGCACCTCTCTTTATGACATGGTTTACTGAACATTTTAAGACTACTGTTGAGACCTACTGCTCAGAAACAAATACTACTTTCAGAATATTACTATTCATTGACAATGCATCTAGTCACCCAAAAGCTCCAATGGAGATTTATAAGATTAGTGTTTTTATGCCCATGAACACAACATCCATTCTGCTGCTAATGGGTCAAGGAGAAATTTTGAATTTCAAGTCTTATTATTTGCGAAATACATTTTCTATATAGCCAGATAGTCATTCCTCTCATGGATCTGGGCAAAGTAAATTGAAAACATTCAGGAGAGGATTAACCATTCTAGATGCTATTAACAGTAATCATGATTTATGAGAAGAGATCAAATTATCAACATTAACAGAAGTTTGGAAGAAATTGATTCCAAACCTCATTGATGACTCTGAGGGGTTTAAGACATCAGTGGAGAAAGTAATTTCAGTGTGGTAGAAAGAGATCTAAAATTAGGAGTGGAGCCTGAAGATGTGACTAAATTGCTGCAATCTCATAAAACTTTAACAGACAAGAAATTGCTTCTTAAGGATAATCAAAGAAAGTGGTTTCTTTCCTCCTCTTCCTCCTCCTCCTGCTTTTCTTCTGCCTTCTCCTCTTATTCTCATCCTCCCCCTCCTCCTCCTCTTTCTCTCCTTCTTCTCTTTATCCTTCCTCTTCTTTTAGGCTGGGTCTCCCTCTGTCATCCAGGCTGGAGGAAGTGGCACAATCTTGGCTTACTAAAGCCTCAACCACTCAGGTTCAAGTGATCCTCCCACCTCAGCCTCATGAGTAGCTGGGACTACAGGTGCACGTCACCACACCCCTAATTTTGTACATTTTCATAGATATAGAGCTTTGCCATGTTGTCCAGGTTGGTAGCAAACTTCTGGGCTGAAGAAATCCACCTGCCTTAGCCTCCCAATGTGCTGGAATTACAAGCAGGATCCCAGTAAATTGCAGTGACCACTTTTGTCACTGCACCTGGCAAAAGTGGTTTCTTGAGATGGAATCTACTCGGGGTAGAAATGCTGTTAACGTTGAAATGACAACAAAGAATTTAGAATATTACATAAATTTATTAATAAAGCAATCACAATGTTTGAGAGGGCTGACTCAACTTTTGAAAGAAGTAGGCAAAATTCTATCAAATAGAATCACGTGCTACAGATAAATCTTAATCTTTAAGATGCTCTAGAGAAATCCTTCATGAAAGGAAGAGTCAATTGACGCAGTAAACTTCATTGTTATCTTAAGAAATTGCCAGAGCCACCACAACCTTAATCAATCACCACCCTGATCAGTCAGCAGTCATCAACATCAAGGCAAGACCATTTATCAACAAAAGCACCAGATGATTGTTAGAATTTTTAGCAATAAAGTATTTTTTCATTACGATGTGTAGATTGTTTTAAAAGACAGAATGCTATTGCATACTTAATAGATTACAGCATATTGTAAACATAATGTTTATATGCAGTGGAAACAAAAAAATAGCTTTATTGCAATATTTGCTTTATTGTGGTGGTGTGAAACTGAGCCTGCAATATCTCTGAGACATGAGGTACTTAAGATGCACTCTCTTAGCACATTTCAAGTACCCAATATATTCTTATGCTGTATATTAGGTCTCTAGCATGTATTCATTTTACAACTGCAAGTTTATATCCTTTGGGCTACATCTCCCCATCTTCTCTACTCACAAGCAGCTGGTAACCACTGTTCTACTCTTAGCTTCTGTCTGTGTTTTTTTAGATTCCACATATAAATGAGATCATGTAGTATTTCTCTTTCTGTGCCTGGCTTATTTCACTTGGCTAAATGTCCTCCAGTGTCATTTATGTTGTTACAAGTGGTGGGATCTCTGTTTTTAAGGCTAAATAATATTTATATAGTGTTTATATGTATGTGTGTAGGTATGTACATATATGCTGCAATTTCTTTATCTATTCAACAATCAATGGACTTTGTTTTCATATCCTGGCTATTGTGAATAATCCTGCAATGAACATGGGACTGCAAATCTCTCTTTGAAGAACCTGTTTTATTTTCTTTGGGTATAATATATACAGAAGAGGAACTGCTGGATCATATGGTAGTTCTAATTTTTTAAGGAAACTTCATACTGTTTTTCATAATGGCCATACCAATTTACATTCTCAGCAATTTACCTTTTCTCTACTCCCTTTCCAATACTTGTTATCTCTAGGCTTCTTGATAATAACCATCCTAACTGGTATACAGTGATAACTCATGGCTTTGATTTGCATTTTCCTGATGATTAGTGATGTTGAACACCTTTTCATATACCTGTTGTCATTCATAAGCCTTCTCTGGAAAAATGTTTATTTACATCCTTTGTCCATTCCATTTTGTAAACTGGGGTTTTTGTTTGCTTTTTTTCTTTTGTTGCTCTTCCGTTGTATGAGCTTTTAAAATATATTTTGGATATTAACTCCTTATTAGACATATAGTTTGCAATATTTTCTCCACATCTATAGGGTGCCTGGAATTTGTTCTTCTTATTTATTTTATTTTTTTGTTAATCTGGAGAAAAGATGTCACTCTGTCACCCAGGCTGGAGTGCAGTGGTGTGATCTTGGCTCAATGCAGTCTTAATCTCTTCGGTTTCAGTGATCCTCCTACCTCAGTTTCCCAAGTAGCTGGGACCACAAACATGTACTACCACTCATGGTTAATTTTATTTTTTTTGTAGAGATGGGGGTCTTACTATGTTGCCCAGATTAGTTTTGAACTCCTGGTCTCAAGTTATTTTTCTGCCTTGGCCTCCTAAAGCTCTGAGATCATAGGTGTGAGCCACCATGCCCAGCCTCCTTTTTATTTTGTTGACTGTTTCCTTTGCTGTGTAAAAAGAGTTTTAGTTTGATTTAGTCTCATTTGTTTATTTTTTCTTTTGTTGCCTGAGCTTTTGGTGTCATAATAATTCAAATGGAAGTGACAGCTGTACATGTATTAGTTGAATGATGGTAACAATTTCAAACTCAACAATGTTCTAGTAGCATGATTAGAACTGATAGCACATACACATGTTGGTTTCACTGAAAATATTGATAGGAATGATATTGGAAATAGTTTCGTACTTTTATGAATAGATACGGGGACTGATTTTAGACATTTTAATTTTGTTGTTTTTATTGCATATAATAGTCCTTCTGACACTCAGCAGATTGCATTTTCTCTGACTGCCATATCTCCTCTATTCATTTAACAAATGTAAGTTTGGACAAAGCACTTTTCTATCCAGTGGAGATAAAATGATGAATAAGACACAGTCCCGCTTTCAAAGAGCTCAAGGACGCAAACCTTCAAACAACTAATTATCATATGATGTGATAACATTTTAGAAATTTTATAATCCCTAGTCCCATGTGCACATGTTTGGGGATCCAGGGAAATCTTCAAAGACGCATTGAAATTTGGACGGAATCTTAGTCTAACTAATAAAGGGAAGCAGATTTATAAGTCAATCAAAAACAGTTATAAATGCAAGATGCATTATTCTGGCTTTGCAATTTGTTGTTAGTTGCTTTGAAAATGGCTGTGTCTTTTTTTTTCTGGGAAATCCTTTTCAAATTAAATCATAAAGCCGCAGAGTAAAGCCCTGATTTAAGGAACAATCTAGAAGCAGTTTGATTTTGTCAACTTTCGGCATTTTTTTCCTTACATATGTCAAGAATAAGCTACACTATTTGAATTTCATTTCCAAAAATGTCTCTCAATTCAGTTTACTTTTCTTCATCCCTATTACTATGCTTTCCTTCTTTTGTCCCGATTACAGCAACTGGTCTCCCTGTCCTTTGAATTCATTCCTATGATGCTTTCATAAAGACTACTTAGAGAAACATAGATCCCAAATGGCAATTTCTGTCCTGAGGCTGTTTTCAACATTGAAAGGGATCTATGAACTTGGCTCACAGCAGTTTTTATTGATATTTTCTATCCTACTGCATAGCATACCAAAACTCCTAGGAAAACCTTATTCTCCTATTCAAGGAACTCTCTTTCCTGACATCACATCTACCCCATCTTCTGCCCTGATTATCCCCTTGCTGAGTGCTAAATTCCTACAGTGAGAGCTCCTGATGTCCCCTCACCTCCAGCTCCCACATGGAGTCCACAAAGCAGACTAATTCTCCTCCTTTGACTTTTATTTGAGGGCATCTTACAGTGACTGTTGTCTTTTCTTCTCTCAGAAAGTGGAGGCAGAGAACAAAGTGGGCAAGGAGGAAGGAAAAATTCAAAAATCTCCATTTTATCTCATCCATTTTAATTTGCTTCTTTTTCTCCCCTGCTCAGAGTATGCAAACACTTCTCCAGTGTCTCGGAGTATTTGCCAGAGAAATACCAACTTCCTGTAATTAAAACACATTTGCTTTAGTAGTTAACCTCCTCTCTTTTAAAGAATAGAGTCAGTTTTATAGCTTCTTATTACTTTAACAGAAGCAAACAAGACCAACCTTCAGGATTCCAGGTTTGTCCTGTCCACCTTGACCAAGGCAAGGGATCCTGACTCCGTGGCCTAGGATATGAATCTGCAGTCCTTAACCTGGGATTGTTCCCGAGAATTTCTGTTCAGTATGGGAGTTTTGACCATATGCTCTGTTTCCAACCTGAGCTGGTTCACCCCTCCTTAGAAACCTAGTGGGCCCTCGCTCCAGGATGGTCACCATATTGACACCAAACTTAGTGTTGCCACCTGATCAGCATAACGCACTACTGCCTAGAACTCCTGGGCTCAAGAAATCCTCCTGCCTCAGCCTCTTAGGTAGCTGGGACTACAGGCATGCACCATTCTGCCCGGTGGTTCTGCAGTATTTCTAACCAGCGCTGAGAAATCTCTCATTCATATTGAGGCCACAACAGACCACTGTGTCCCTATAGGAACCGTGCTTGGCAGGACCACTTCCCACTCCTAGGGGTTTGCAAATGTGCTTCTGGAGAGAGGGTCCTTTCAGCAGGCTCTCAGAAACCATCGTTGGTCCTGTCTTCTGAGGCTCCAATTTCACTCATCAGATAGCTCTTGGCCTGAGGCCAGTCATGACATTAGGCCTGGAGATTTTCAGATTTCCTACTTAGTGGCTTCTTTGTTTTTCTGTTTGTCCCTTCCTAGTAACAACTAAGAGGCAGGCATATTCTGTCCAGTGTGCAGTTTTTTTTTTTTTTTTTTAAAGCAGTTTTAGGTTTACAGCAAAATTGAGAGAAAAGCACAGAGATTTCTCATACACTCTCCAACCCAACACATGCAGAGCTTTCTGTACTGTGTGATTCCCACCTGAGTGATACACTGTTTCAACTGACAAACTACATCTACATATCATAGTCACCCAAAGTCCACAGTTTACATTAAGGTTCACTCTTGGTGTACATGTGATGGGTTGGGACAGATGTGTAATGACGTGTATCCATCATGGATGGATTATAGATGCTTTTACACATTTCTCCCAACCCATCAAATGTACACTATACATACAATTATGTGTACATATAAATATATATATGCACATACACATCTTTAAAATATATATTTATGAATATAAATATATATCAGAGTAAATATGTATCGCACACAGCTTGTTCTTTTATTTATATAGCATCATTATCCATTATGCAGAATGTCTTCACTGCCCTAAAATCAGAGTCTGTTTATCCCATTAGCTGCACTGTAAACCTGTGATTTTTCTAGTAACTAGTAGATCACACAAAGAACTCCAAAATTTGCTTTATCTTCAGTCCTACAGTAACAGTCAAATCAGCAAGGGAGCCATTCTTAGTTAGTAGAGTGGATCTTGAATATAGACTCAGAAAATTTGCCAGTAGCCTTTTTAAAAATTTTTATGACTTGAGTGGCTTCATCATGCTACACAAGTCTGTTTCTTCATCTGAACAAGTATCCTTAAATCAGTATTGCATTCTTCAAAAAAAGCTGTAATTTCAATCTCACTGTGAATATCACAATGTCCCGTTGGCTCCCCATTGGCTTTTCAAAGATAACACAGCTTGTTCTAGATGCACTTTTGCCCTTTTATATTTTGACTGCAGATGTCAATCTGTCATGATTTAAGTGTATTCTTGTTTTTTATCTAAGGTAAGCATTCTTTGGAGAAGTGACTTCTCCAAAGAAACTAACAAAGCTTGTGATACCTCTAGTATCTAGAATGCAGTGGTAACCACAAACGGGAAGTCCAATCTTTACAAATACTTATTTTAAATCTCTGAAGTAGGGAGGCTATACAGTTCAAATCTTTAGTCTTCAGCCAATTTTACTAAAATATCCAACACGTTTTCTTCTATTTTCACATAACTGTGCACTTCTGAGTCTTCTTCTCCAACAGATTCTTTTTTCCTGCCACCCTGCCCTCACTATCTTGGTCCCTCAATCTCTTGCCACCTCTACTCCTCTGATAGGCTCACACCACCTTCTTATCACATGTCTTATTTTCCCAGTTTCATAGTCTCTTTAGGAGTAAAATATGTCTATTTTATTTGTCTAATGATAATCTGGCAGAAACCTTGAAAGCATTATGCTCAGTGAAAGGAACCAGACACAAAAGATGACTCCATGAATAATTCCACTTATATGTTCAGAAAAGGAAAATTTATAAAGACAGAAAGCAGTATAGTAGTCACCTGGGGCTAGGGTAGGAAATGAGATTAGAATGAGGATTAACTGTGAATAAGCAGGAGGGATTTGGGCAGAGGGTAATAGAAATGAGCAAAATTGAATTGTGATAATTACACTTCTCTGTAAATCTACAAAAAAAATTGAATTGTATACTTAAAATGAATTAGTTTTATGTTATGTACTTCACACATCTCAGTAAAGCTGATTTTTGAAAAAAGAATTGTCCAAGCAGCTTTAGAGACAGCGTCCTGTTCTGTTGCCCAGGCTGGATTGCAGCGGTATGATCATAGCTTACTGTAGCCTCAAACTCTTAAACTCAAGTGATCCTCCTGCCTTGGCCTCTTAAAGCACTGGGATTATAGGTGTATACCACTACACTTGGCCCAGAGTGGCCTTTGTTTTATGCCTTCTTACCAAGGACAGCATGATTTCTTATGTAACCAATTTTATCCCATCACTCACAGATCTAACTTGTCATTCCTCTACTTAAAACCATTTCATCAAAACCTATTGCCCATAAAATAAAGTCCAATCATGGCATAAGAGCCCCTTCACAGTTTTTCCTCTGTCTACCTCATGGTTACTCCTTCCTCATGCTTTCTATTTTACATATTCAACCCTTTGTGACATGGGGTTTCCTCTGTGAGCAACACTCATTCTCCTTTGCCCATTTTAAAATTCCGATTTATGGTTCGAAAGATTCCTTCGGCTTCACCTGGAATCACCTTTACAGATAGGACTAAGAAACAGAACTTCTCTGTACTGTTTCTGGGCCTTCATCACATCTCCATAATTCTATGTACTATGCTGTACTGCATGTAATGCTTCACTTGTCTCTATTCCTTATGAGACCTTAAGCTGCTGAACAGCAGGGGCTCTTTGTATGGGCATCTCTAGTGTTAATCCCTGTGCTTGACACAGTCAGTCCTCAATAAATGTTTATTGAACTGGATTGAATTAAAGATTTGCATTTTCTCTAAAATTTGCCCAAGCACAAGAGGTAATGAAGAATTTGGATTTTAGATGTTGTATACATACATAAAACACAGCTGAAATCAAAGGAAGTTGTACGTGTGTGAGGGTTGGAGGAATTACTAGTTTAATACAAGATTTTTACCTCATTGAGATTTGAGCAATATGTAGTTTCCACACTCTTATGCTGTTCTAAACCCATTTGTTCTGAAATTATTATTTTTACTATACTAGACCTCCACATGCTATATTTTTGCCCTGGTAATAGTTTTTTTTATGCCAATGAATAAATATAGATCATCAGTCTTTATTCAACTTATATTAATTGCTAGTGGCAGAAAGAAGTGACACAAAATAAAACTGACTATGCCTAATGTTCCTTCCTTTAAAAAATTGATAAAATAATCATAATTTTTGGCGACAAAATTTAGATCTGTCAGTTTTGGCTCAAGAAAAGTTGATTTGATTAAAAAGATAAGACAAAATAGCAGGAAGCTTAATTGGCAAAGTTTGATATGAACAAAAAATAGGCTGGTAGAGTACATGTAGAAAAATTCTTAATGAAGCTCCAGAAACCAGTAACTTCTGAGAAACATACAGGAATATGTAAATATGTATTACTATTCTCTGAGGCACTCCTAAAAGGCATAACAACTGACTCCTCTTCATGAGATGCCAATAAAATGATGAAAGGTAATACAGTGTAGCGTTCACATCATGCCCCAGGTTCCTGAGAGTAGTCTAATATTATGGAGGAAAGGGCTGTATGGTATTTGTATCTTGAGGAATGGGTAACCACATATTGTACCGCTTTCTTCTAAAGGGTCTTTTGTTGTTGTTGTTTTTTAATTGAATATGTTTAGCTAAATTCTGATTTAATAAGCATATCCTACAATTCATGAATGTATAATCAATAGCGTATATTTTCAATAAAATTATTTCAATAACAATAAATGCATATAAACACAATTCATTTTTACCTTTTTTTAAAGTGTATATTGAGGCTGAAAATCTATGAAAATTTACAAATAAACACAGTCAATATTTTCTTAAGTTGGTATGCATGATTCCTCTCAGAATAAAAGATTAGAGTCACATAAGTATTGTGAATGAATTTACAATCACTTATGATTGTTGGAGCACTAACCAAGACATATAACATGGACAGTGGGCAAAAATAAATCACGTCTTATATTCAATTGTATTTATTTTAACCTTTTATAATCACTTCTGCTGATTAAGTTTTAAAACATTTTGGCTTTTATAACAGCTATTCCATTTACTGGTTAATTTTTTTCATTAAGAAATGTTTCCTTTTTGCTACACATATAAGTTTTCAGTTATACATTATCAAGACCAGAAAGGCAACATGGTTTACTGCAGTAAGGTTATGTCAACAAAATAATTATCCAACAGTCTGAGCACGATGTAGACTTTTATTGCTGCTGTATAAGACTTTTAAGCTTTAATAATGAAAAGTCCAGTTTCTTACTTAGAACATCATAAAGTCAAAACAGCAATGTTTCTTTAATCTTCAAAGCTACTTTCTACAGAATGTTTTAAGTAATCTCTTTTGAAGTAATCTCTAAAATAAATTTCGGAAAGCTAAATAAATTGGTGGCATTTGAAGGGCACTGAGAATTCATAAGAAGACATTATAAAACTACACTAAGACAGTATAACTGATTCTAAAGCAATATCAGGAATTGAAGTTTTGTGTTTTTAGAATAGCAATATACCTTTTAGTTTTTGAGAGATATATGCAATATATGTGAAAATGACAGAAGTCAATAAGCATATAGTACACACAGCTAAAAAGAAGGTTGTACAAACACAATAAGTAGACTTAAATTTTTACATATAGATCTTCATAAGTATTCATGGAAAAATCAGCATCTACACAATTTTAACAAAAAATCAACATTTACTTTCAGATATATGTTTTATACAAAGGGCTATGCATTCTAAGACAGTTTTATATTTTATATGTTTCATATTATTGAAATTGATAAAACAGAATAGGAATACTCAAGAAAGTACATTTTAGCTCCATAACATAGGTTTTACAAAAAATATGTTTATTTCCTAGACAGTAAAATGAAACAGAAGCAAAACAATAGGAAAAGCCAGTAAGCTCAATGTATCCTGCTTATACTTGTTTTATAAAAAGAATCTTTGAACTGTATTTAATCAAGCTCCAACAAAATAATTATAAACTATTTGTATTTTGCCTTGTTCCAAAAGGAGTTAATATGGGATGAAGAATAAATTTGCTGTACTGCATTAGGCATCAGCAAGATGGTGACCTTTGTATGTTGAATTTCAAGCTTTTCAAAATATTAATAGGAAATATATGCTACTTTTAAATTAAGTGTATAAAAGGTTAAAAGCAAATGCACTCATTATGTTGAATGTTATTTATTTAGCAAAAATATTATTACAGAGACTCATTTTGTATGCAAATTGAAATGCTATAAGCCATTGAACTGCACAAAAAAGCCAGTATGGTTAATTAACAAATGTATTTTAGAGCTACAAAATAACTGTTTCACATTAAATTACATAAGATGAAAGGATACATAAAATAAATCACCAGCATTTCATGTTTTGACTTGGTCCATCTGGGAACTTTGCAAAATAAGTCCACAATGGAACATCATCAAGGAGTATGACAGAAAAATGAGGCAATTATATTTAGTCTCTGAAGAACTGCACAAACTAGAGAAATTATCTTATTTACTGCATTAGGCTGACTTCTAAATGACTTAGTTTGATCCATTTAAAAAATATACAAAAATTATACACAACAGCACCTTAACATAACAAATATTGAAATCAATTAGATAAAAATATGGGTATTAATGTTTTCTGAGATGATACAATTTCATATTCATTGAAAGTTATGGCAACTGAACATACTTGGAAAAAAAAACCCAGGTCTCTCTCTATTAGAAATATCACTGTTAAACTTTAACAACGACCAAACATTTTGTATATACTACGCAGTAAGAAGGCAGCCCCCATCAGCAGGTAGCGCACCAAAAATGTTTGGTTTCGTAATATAGTTTGGGAGAACTACCTCTACAAAGTCTATTCGTGCTGATGCTCCTGATGCTGCCATTTCTGGTGCCCGAAAAGCTGCTCCCTCCACATCCTCTGTTGTAGGTGTCACTGTATAGTCTCAGGCGATTGGGCAAGGGGCACACTCTGGATCTTCAGATGCTAAGATGAAAAAAATCAATTTCAATGCCCAAAAGATGGAACTCCTAATGCAGAAGGTGACTAAAATAATTACCAATTGGTTTACAGTACAGGGAGATGGAAAGTTTACTTGTTTTAATGTAATTCCATAGAAATAGGTTTTAAATAACATTTTTGTAAAGAGGCATAGCTCTAGGATTAGGAAAAATGTTAGATAAAATAGAAAATTAAACTCAGAGTGGAATTGGACTAGATGACAAAAAACATGCATACCCCCTGAAAGGAGCAAGCAAAACTTTAATATGATGATTATCAGGTGATAAGCCATTGTCATGAAAATAACTTGCTTACACTATCACTTCCAAGGTCTACTCATTTCCAGTAACTCTCTGTGATAACAAGCATGATTGATGCACACTGTTTAAGGCATAATAGAAATGGACACATTGAAATTTTACTATGAATTTTAATGTCCTCGACACTCTCTGAAAATGACAACATTTATGACTTTCTCTTCTACGAAATATTCTTCTTCAGTATAGCAGCTCAAATCATATTAAGATAAATTATTTTAATCTCCATAGTGTTAGAGAAAGATTTCATATGAGAAAACATCACTGAAAGACACCAGTGAGAGAGGTGTATGTAAATGAACATACTTTGAAGAACACATTTTATTACATTAAAATAATTTTGATTGAAATAATGTTTTGGGTTGTAAACAAATAATTATTCTTCCCATTTTTTTCCTATTAAATATTTAAATGGCAACTTTTGCCAGGCATCTCCATGTTTTAATAAAAATGTGTGTAATTTGGATCTTGAGAGGAAATTTTAAAAAGCATTGACTTGAATGCAGAATGATAAATGTATATATAAGTACAAAATCATTTATAAAAATATCATCTCTAGAAACAGCAATAGCTCAAATTAATAAATTATGGCTATTTGGAATTAAATCATTTAAGTAACCACCTTTATAATTTAAGAAATTGGTATTTTTATAACAGTCACTTTTACAGCTTATGTACTTTAATCCATTATATTTGATATACTGTAGAGTGACAAATGATCATAAATCATGACAGATTCTTATTGAACATAATTTTTCAGCAGGAACCATCCTGAATCAATTAACCGTGCTATTACTCTACTTTAATTTTCTCCCCACTTCTTCTGGAAAAGCCACCAATCACATTTCAATTAATGACTTACATATATTTTGCTTACACTTTTTTATGTGCTACATTTTATTCAAACTAATCAAATGCTACAATTTTACCAACGTGTACTAATTTAAAAGTTGGATATGCTCAGACAAATGTAATTATGGCTACACAGAATATTAAATGATGATTGAATATATTAGCTGCATTAGAAATTTCTTTTTGCTCCAATAAAAAGACATATATTTTCCATGAAAAAATGAAAATATAATGTTTCATTACAGTATTTTTATATACAACTGAAATTAGTGCACATGAATCTTAAAAATATTTTCACAGTTGAATGTAAGAAGTATAGTTCTCAAATTCGTATAATTATTACTTACATTAGAAAAATTTGGCAAATGCTCTAAAGGTTGAACAACTTCATGTATATAATAGGTACACTGGGAATGTACATAGACTATTTGAACAAGAATTACTTATCTTCAATGTTTAATTGACAAGCAATACATAAACAGATTCTTTGTGAGAAAATGTTGTCTTAAAGATTTTGCTATAAGTTGGGTTTTATGTATTTATTTTTGGATGAAATATTTAATAGTCATTTAAAGTGGTGTTTACAGATTGATATAGCTATTTCACATGATTATCTTAACTCTATGTATGTTTATAAAGTTCACATTCTTATTTTGCTGATATAAGGAAAATAACAGCATGTATAAAATATTACAAAGGATATTATATTTTTATGTTTTAAATAGTCAACTATATTTTATAAATTACACATGGATCATCATGCTCCATAGCTGAAATTCAAACTCAAGTTGAACATAATTATGCATTCTGTGCATTTTTGGATGATTCTGAAATGTGCAACTTGATCTTGCCAAACTTAAAACAATTAAATCTTAGTGTTTTCTCTCAGATCTCTCTGCCGTATCATTTGATTTTCTCATAAGGCATATAGATTATTCAAAAATAAAATTGTCTAACAGAACAGTAATATAGCAATCAATATTCTCAGCCCACTATTGAACCAGCCAAAATTTAACACCAGTTGAAAGCTTAAGGTATTACAGCATACAATTTGGCTTTGAAGATAGGGCATAAGTACACATCATTTTCTTTAAACATGAAGGTGATCAATACATAAATCTTTATAATGGCAGGCAACATTTTATTCTTTAAATACATTGTACAAATTCTCCCAATTTATGCATCATTTGCAGTATAACATTAATAAAAGTCAATGAATTAAGAATATGTTTTTATTACAAAATGCAGTCATCTGCTAGAGTAGTCTTTAGCTAACCATTAAGAAAATTTACACCAAATAATTTTTGGCATATAAAAGTTTGAGCTAAATAAACGCTATTGTGTTCAAGCAAAGTCCACTTTTAAAATGTGCTTGCTCTAAAATTTACCTTATAACATTTTCAAATATTTTGTTGATATGTTAAAGTGTTTCAAAAAACCTAATAAAAAATGGAAGCATGGTTTTCTACAGCTTCCAAGACTCTACAGAAGAGGGAGTGAGTGCTGTAAGAAGCGGAAAAGGGAGGGAGTGATAGAATCTGCTTGCAGAATTCAAGAAATAGTTTTAAGAGCTAACCTGTAATTTGGGTCTTTATTTTTCCATAAGTGTTTACTATACAAAAAGAGATAAGGAACTCTAGGCATCAGGAATTGCATGTATACATTCATTAAAACTTAAAAAAAAAATAACGAATTCGGGATGGTGAAATTTTTTTTTTTTTTTTTTTTTTTCATAAGGGAGCTTAATATGGAGGGGATTGTTGGGAGATGAAACAATTTGCCATTTGTCCCTATACACTTATTTCTATTCCTCACTCTTTTTTATTCAGTCTCAAAGATAAGTGTTTCTTTATCTACTCAAGTAGATAAAGAAAGTAAAATTCTTATTGGTATACTTGACACCAGGCTCAACAACCTCTTCTAGGAAGGACCTGGCTTGCTAAATTTTCACTTTCTTCTTTGGCATTATTCTCTCCACTGCTGGCTCCTTAATCTTGGGCTGTGTGCACTCAACACCTCTATTACCTCCTCTTCCATGCCTAGCATGTAAACCTGATAGCTAGCACAAGTTAACATTTACTTCTGGTTCACCGAACTAAAATTTATTGAGCACCTACTGGGTGTAGGCAATGTAGTAAACTTTCTCCTCTGCTGAAAAGGGCAGTCTATCTTACTTCCTCACCAACCATACATTCATTGCCCCACTGCTCTCTAAATTTTGAGCCCCTCCACTTATCACACCTGCTTTGGTAACGTAAGATGAAAGCTAGAATGAACTCTTACATCTGCTGTCCTGAGGCTGAACTTAGGCAAGGTATTTGACTGTCTTGAGCTATAATCTTTGCAATCTGTAAAATGGACATAATGACACTTTCCTCAATCTATTGTAATGAGTCTCAAAATGAAATATACACATACCATGCCTTATCCGTTGTCTAGCACATAAAAGCATAAGGAATTGTTATTAGGTATAAATGTCCAAAAATCCTTCTGATTTCAAATCCAGCTAACATTTCTCAATATTTACTTTTGGGATCTCTTTGCTGTCTTTCACTATTGATTATTCCCTACATCAAAGCTCTCTACTCTCTTAGATTCTATGACAAGTGCCTTTCCTGCTTCACCACACACTTTATTGTCTCTTTCAAAGGCTTGTTCTCTGCCTGTCCCATAAATGATGGTTTTCTCTTCTTTTAATTGTATTGTTCTTATCATTCAGTATGTGAGAATGTGCTCCCATAGTTTCCGATAACATATGAGAATAATAAAGACAAAATCTAGGCTTCCAGCCCATTATCTGTCTTTGTGCTTCAGAGTCCTTTGTCTAACTGTATTTCAAGTAACTCTATTTGGATTTCTCAAACTGAATTCATCATTTCCCCTCTGAACCACCTTCTTCCTTTGGATTTTTTTACTTTGGATTTAACTTTCATTGATGACATCACCGTCTACTGGGTCATTCAAATCATAAATCTGGAGACTTAGATTAGGCTTCTCCCTCTTATTTCTAACATCCAAGTAACCTTAATTCTGTGCCAATTTTATTTCCTAAATATTTCAGTAATTGGTCCATTTTTCCCCATCTCTGTTAACAAACAGTTCAGATTTTTCTAGAAAATAATCTGGACTTTGCCTGGATTATTACAATAACTTGTTAATTTATCTCCCCTTCCTCAAAACTCCATATGATTCCCAAATGAAATTTAACCACATCATTCCCTACTGTGGGCTGAATTGTGTTCCCTCAAAATTTGTAGGTTGAAATCTCAATTCCCAGTGCCTCAGAAAGACTATATGAAGATAGGGTATTTAAAGCAGTATTTAACGAAAAATGAAGTCGCTAGGGTGAATCCTAATTCAACATGAGTGATATCTTTATAAAAACAGAGATTAAGATATAGATATACAGAGAGAACACCATGTAAAGACATGGGGAGAAGCTGGCCATTTGCAAGCCAAGGAGAGCGCCTTCAGAAGAAACCAACCTTGCTAACACCTTGATATTGGCCTTCAGAACTGTAAGAAGATAAATTTCTATTGTTTAGGCCAACAAGTCTGTGGCACTTTACTATGGGAGCCCTAGCAAATGAATACTTGCCTGTATGTGTATTTCTTCAAGAGCTCCCCAGAGCACATAGGATGCAATTTTAATGTAGCAAACCCCCACAGTGTGACCATACCTCCCTATTTAGCTTCCTCTCTGACAACTCTCTGCCATCACGCTATACTTCACCAACACTTAACTGCTTACAGTTCCAAGTACACACTGTATTCCTCAACTTTGTACCTCTGGTACCACCGCCCTCTTCATCTGGC